CGAAATGGAGGCCAAGCAAGGGCAGGAAGAAACCTCAGGTCCCCTAGCGAGGCTGCATGGCATGGCGGAATCAGGCCTGGCTCTTTCTCACCAGCCTGAGGTCTTTGCACTTTCCCTCATATCTGAGGCTGCAGGTTACCAGGTGTGCTCCTCTCAGAGAGGTACAGTGACTGGCCTGACATTCTTGTGGGTGGGACCTTGCTGTCCCCAGCTGTCCTCTATTTACTGACCCCCTCGGAGATGAGCCAGAGTGGAGACTAGAAGGTAGCAGCTGAGCTGTGAGCCTTCCTACCAGACATGCACTTTGGTTTTTAAAGAGGTGAAGTGGCAGACATTCCCCTCCCCATGCCAGTGGACCAAGGCTGTGTTTCAAGCATGCCTGGCCACTGAAAGTGCTGGCTCAGGAATCTTGTTTCTTTCTATTTTTTTCCAGAAAAATAGAGAACACCACAGATGTTCTTGCTCTCCACGACCCTAGAAGCCACATTTATTCTCAGAGAAAAATCAGCATCAGGCTCCGGAATGGTCCGTGGGATGTGGCTGGCAGCCCTCCAGCCTTGCATTGAGGAAGGTGGAGTTTATGAGGGCTGGGACTCCTTGTCCTGAGCAGTATCTCGTACCCCCACCCCTTCATCCCTTCCCCTCTCTGGTCTTTAGGCAGCCCTTCTGTAAAACGTAGGGGCAGGCAGCATGGGGACTCGGTGTGGATACTCAAGGCTGCACCCTGGCAGCACCAACAGTGGTGTTCTCATCAAAGGCATTAACCTCTCTTTCTCAAGGTTGCTGCTCGCCTATTTATAGAACTGACCAAGTGGAGTCGACAATGATGCTGATGCTCACTGCAGCGTTTCTCTTCCCTCACTTTCCCTTCTGACTTCCCAGACAATGCTTTTCTGGATTCCTCTCTATGGAGAGTCCCGCAGGGAGGTGGGAAGAGGCTCTGCTGTGCTGGACACCTGCTGTGCATACAGGCCCTGAATCATGCCCGCAGGTCCATTGGTCCCCATTTACACACTGCTTAGAGAGGGCAAGCCACCAACCCAGTGCCTCGCAGTGGGTAACTGCAGCTTGACCCTTTCTCCTAGCCTGGGCAGTCTGTAAGATCCTGCCAGTATCCCCTGCATGATGGTGCCTATGGTGGCTGTGATTTCTTGTGGGGGTACTATTCATGATATCTCCCTGACAGGCCTGTCAATCATTTCTCAGGACCTATTGTGTGACAGCCCAAGCTTTCCCTCTCATCAGTCTACAAGTGTTGTGGGGACATGTTTTATATCAGAAACTGCAGGTGCCATGAAGTCCTACTGTGTGCTGCGTGAACTCTTGACTGTCAGCAGACTACAGCTGTCATTGATGCCTATAACGCTACCTGATGATGCCTTGTCCCTCAGCAAGGACAAACATCATGAGCACCTGTTGTGTGATAACCATCTTGAGGATCTGAAGTATGCAGGAGCAGTTTTGTCTCCCCAGACACAGCTTGTCACTTAACTGACCCAAGTGTTGTGAGACCCTACTGTGCACTTGGCAATACTTCATCTTTCTAAGCATAAGTATCATAACAGCCTACTGTGCACAAGGTGACAGTTTGTCTCTTGACAGGTCTGGTACACAGTAGGTTCTTGGCCGGGCTTAATTTCATCATGTGCCCAGGATGGGATGGAGGACTCCTGCTGGTTGGAACAGCATCGGGCAGGGAAGCTTTGTTCTTTTGGAACAGAGAGCAGCAGGCAGGGAAGAGGGCATAGGAAGGTGAGGACAGAAGGTGTAGGCGCCTCTGCTCCTGCTGATCTTGCCCGTACCCCAACAATCACTCTGTTTTGATGGAGCAGAAACACACCTGGTAGATCCAAGGCCCGTCTCTCCTATGTCTTCAGCTTCACAAAGGTTTCATTTTACCTACTATTCCATCGGGAGCCGCAGGGAATACTCAAGAACACTGTAAATCTTTCCCTACTCCATCTCAAGACTCCTTTCTAAAAAGAGTTTTGGAGAGCTGCCCTGCTCATTGCTCCTGGCCTGGCTTTGCGTGAGGATGGCAGAGCTAGGCCCCACCCCCTGGGAAAGCCAGGGCCCCATGCTGTCTCCTCACCTGTCATGTTCATTGAGAATTGTGGAGTTCATAGAGCCCAGAGCAGCAGATGGGGTAACAACAGTTTAGGTGCTGTACTCTTACTTTCTCGTATGGAAAGCAGTGTGCTTCACTGTAGCACAGCCACAGGCAGCCCCATCCGCAGGGAGGGGCTGGACTTGGTTAGCTCGGAAGCTTTGTTTTCTTGCATTTTTCTCCTGACATACTGAGATTGTGCTAGAAGCCATGATTTGTAGCCTGTCAACCCCACTTCACATTAGAATTTGTCATGTCCGTGGCATTGCAAAACCTCTGTCAGTGTGCTCTTCCGGCAGCATACAAAGTTAGTACCTAGAGAAACCTTCACTGAGTCAGACCAGCTCCAACTATGGGTGCATTGTCAGCTGGGGCTGCCTTAGTAGAATATCACAAGTGGGCAGCTTACATCTCAGGAACTGATTTGCTTGCATTTCCTGAGGCTGGAGCCTGAGACAGCTTGCAGGTGTTATCTCTCAGGTGACCTTCCTGGCTGGCAAAGGACTTGTTTTCTTTCTGTGCCCTATGTAGAGGAAAGCAAGCACGCTCTGGTGCGCATGCCCATCCTTCGTGCCGAGTCAGTCATCTCGTCATGAAAACCCCATCCTCACATTCACTAAAATAGGGCTTCAGTGTCTAAATTTGGGGTAGCTACATACTGGGACCCCTAACATGAGGTATGTTTGCTGTTAATCCAATACAAAGTGACTGTCCCCCAGAATCCGTGCCTCCGGCCCCATTACAGATGACTGACCTCAGCTTCTACCCCAAGGAGTGGACTTCGGCTTACTCCTTGTGTCTCTCCGTCCTCACACTGGAAAGCTGCACAGCAAGGACGGTGCTTATACTTGAAATAGTAACTTGGTGAAAGGAACCCCTTACTGTGTGTTTGGCCGAGAGTCGTTGTAAGACTTCAGTTTGTAGGAGGAAATGAAGGACAAGACTTTAGACACCTCCACAGCTAGAACCTCTTTGTTTTACGTAGGATGCGATGTCTCAAGATATGCCTGCACTGTGATCAGGGTGCACGGCTCACCAGTAATGACCAGAGTTCACCACAACACAGATTGAACACTTCAAGCTGAGATTTTGTAGTTAAGGAATAGGGATGGGGGTGGAGAGGTTTTATTAGGGGAAGAAAGGGGAAATCAGCCGTTTTCCTTTAGCAAGCTGTTATTGAAACTGTAGAATCTGTTGTCTCATCTACAACCACCTGGCGTCTGCAGTGGGGGCAGCTGCTTCACTTATGCAATCTTCAAATGACTGACTTCCTGCAACTCTGAGCTCAATTTTTAGCTTTGACTTTTTTTTTAGTGTGTGTGGGGGGGCTTTACCCATGATAGAATTCCCAGAGACGGTCCGTGCCAGGTATGGGTTGGAAGGCCTGCCACATACAGGCCCTTTGTAAGGTTAAGCTGCTGTTGTTGATGTTTCTGTTTTTGACTCTTGTATTTAGTATTTTATTGGGGTTCCGAGACCACTGTCAGGCAAGGTCAGTGTTTAGCTAGAACGTTTCACAAAGTGTCACACGTGTTCACATATATTCCTGTGCCTTAGAATCTATAGCAACTCGGCACCAGAATGCATTTATGCCCGAGACCCAGTGAGGTGGCTCAGTGGATGCAGGAGCTTGCCTCCACACCTGGCGACCTGAATTTGATCCCTAGGACCCACACAGAGAATGCAAAAAACCAGCTCCCACAAGTTGTTCTCTGACCTCTATGCATGTGCCACGTACGTGCACATATACACTTAAACACAAATAAATAAGTGTGATAAAAGCTTTAAATGGTATAGCAAATGACTAAACCTTCTCCAGAGGATTATACCCAATGCAGTGTAGGTGCCATGCAAGCAGCTGCTGCCGTGTGCTGTTTAGGGAATGCTAACAGAAAACAGTCTGTGGATGTTCAGGACAGATGCAGACTTAAAAAAAACAATTCTCAGATGTGTGTGCACATATGCATGCATATGGAAGCACAAATTTGGTGTTTGATGTCTTTCTCGGTGACTGTCCACTTATTTATTGAGACAGGGTCTCTCAATTCTTTCCAGAGTTTGTGAGTTAACTAGTTTAGCTACCCAGCTTGCCCTGGGGATCCTGTTCCTGCTTCCTAACTGCTGGGATTGCAAGAGGTTGCCATGTCAGCCTGACTTTGGGGTCCTTGGGATCTAATGTCACATATGTATGGCAAATGCTTGTAACCACTGAGCAACCCGCCCCCACCCAGGTCCCTGGATGCATTAAAAACAAAGCAAAACAGAAACATTTTTTGTTCCATGGCTGAATGAATCTGGGGGTGTAAAGCTATGGGTACAGAGGGCTTATGGGGGCTGTCCTTGAACCCCCTCAGACTTAGATACGAGTGAAGTCCAGAGGAGCCCAAGCTTCTAGAAGCCTCAACGCATCGCCTAGGGCACACATCAGCCGTCTAGGGTCAGACTGGTAAGTGTGTGATACTGTCTGGCTTACTGGGGACCAGTCACACAGGCATTCCATGGTGCCCACGTTCCAGACTGCAGAAGACAAGCAGGCGCTCAACATAACCACGCTGTGGCCCAAGCAGTGTCAAAGAGGGAGTCCCACATGAGCTACAGTCCAAAGCCAGGGTCTCCAACACCAGCCCAGGGCCAGCTCTGCATTCAGGCCGTGTCAGGACAGGGGCCTCAGGTCTGCTCAGTTCCCTCTCCTCTGCACAGGTGTCTTGAGAGATGACTTTGTGTCTAGAGCACTTGAAGTAGGATGGGGCAGAGGCTCCATTTTCACATGCAGTGGTGTGGGGAATGGGGCTAAGACCTGGTTCCTCCTCCAGGTGTGGAGTCTTGATAGGAGGTGAAGTAATGGCAGAGTGGGGGTGCCCCCTTCCCTCTAACTGTGTCCCCCTCTCTTCAGGCTCTCAAGGGCTCCAAGAAGCTGGTGCTGTCTGTGTACTCAGCCGGGCGTATCCCTGGGGGCTATGTCACCAACCACATCTACACCTGGGTGGACCCGCAGGGCCGCAGCACATCTCCTCCCTCCAGCCTGCCCCAGCCACATGGCAGCTCCCTGCGACAACATGAGAATGACCGAAGGAGTGCCCTACACCTCCTGCAGGATGGAGATGAGAAAAAGGTGAGAGCTGTCTGATCTGGTAAAGATGGCGGTACCTAGGGAGGCCTTGGGTTTCCAAGCTCTTTGTACACCCAGGGGCCCCTCAAGGTGAGAAGGAAGGACCCGAGCTCTGTTCCTGGCTTCTGCTTGTGACCTATAAGATGTATATTGCCTTGTAGGATAAGCTGCTGCCACAGCGTGGTGCAAATCCTCTGGCTTATTGTGACTCTTCCTCCCACAGCAGAGTGGAAGGAACCTTCTGGTCTGGTATACAGCTCTGCACTAGGACTTATTCAGGGATGTAGATTCCACCATCCACCAGCTCCTAGGGTACGGTCCCTTCTGGAGGTTGAATCTGGGCTATAGTAAGCCCCTGCTTTCGCACCCAGGACAGGGAAAGAGAAAAAGCCTGGGCCATGCCTTTACATATGAACTTTACATATATTGAACTTCTCATGGGTCCAGATTCAAGCTTGGACTGTGCACAATCTGCATCATGAACCTGGGAGTGCCTTGGACTGTAAACAGACGAAACCAACTTGACTGACTCTAAAATTTGAGAATGTACTAGAAAGGTGTGAGTAATCTCAGAACTGGACCTGAGAAACTCAGGGTGTATCTGCAAAAGGGATCCCCCCCACAGTGACCCATATCCTTCCCTTCCGGTTTTCTGTTTCAAGGAGGGAACATCTTTTTGACTGGCAGAATGTCTTGAACCTTGATTGACAGGACCATTAGTAGCCCTGTAGCTGGTGGAGAAAGGGGTTCTGTTCTCCAAAGGAGGCCAGTCATCAGTCAATGTCCCCTATAGAGCCTTCTTCCTCCTCCTTCAGAGAGAAAGAATGGGGTAAACGATTGAAATGCCCCCCTCCAAAGCCTTAACCCTTCTGGGTGTGTTCGCATGGTTCTGTTTGCATTGTGGGTGCTTCCAGGATCAAGGATACCTGTCACTGTTGTCCTGCCAGAGTCTCTTCTGGTTTAGGACTTTGATCCTTACAGACAGGAGACCACAGACTCTTTCTCAGCTCTTTCTCGTGTCGATAAGACCATAACATTTACTTAATGTGGTTTGTATTTTTTCACGAACATCAATATGAAGGACGCAGGGAGATCTCAGTGACTTGTTGGGAGGTGATGGTGTGTGTGGGCCCAGCTGGTTTCCTCAGGACAGCAGCCAGAAAACAGGCCTTCATGCCCCCTACCAGGGACACCCACCCTAGGCCACCATGAGGGGAGTTATCAGCCACCTGGGCAATGCGCAAGGCCAGCTTTGCAGATTAGGTGGAGAGCCCACTTTGTTGTTTTCTGAACTGCTGTCCTGGGTAGAACCTGAGTCCAGAGCTAAAATTGCTATGATTTTGGCTGGTCCTGAACTCATGCGGCTTGAGCTTGTGCAGTACCTTCCCGAGTCCTTGGAACCACCTGCAGGGTTTGTAGTGCCAGATTCTGAGCCAGAGGGTGAAGGTACAGGTAAGATCCCAGGAAGCAAAATAAAGAACCCTGTGGCGGAAAGGCTGGACACCTGCACCTAATGAGGACCATGGTGCGGACCACTGCATGGTGGCACAAAGTCGGCTGCAATGTAGAGGACACATTTATTTATTCTATGGACAGGGTAAAAGCCCATGAAGGAAAATGAAGTTCCCAGAAGGGCTAGGAAGTAACAGGAAGGGCAGACCTGTCTTAGAAGTTGACAAAGGAGCCACCAAGTACCATTTTGGAGCATGAAAGTCCTAGGAAGTCAGGACAGCATGTGCAAAGTTCCCAAAGTAGGACTGAGCCCAGTATCTTCGAGGTATTGAGTGGACAGGAGGATGGAGGCCGGGACGTTAGGTAAAGTCCCGCACCCCCCACCATGGGCATTGTGGGGCAGCTTCTGGAATATGGAAGCTGCATCTGAGAGGCAGGGAGAACGCAGACACCACAGGAGGCAGGATCTACCCCCATGGCAGTCCAGGTATCCTTCACAGGTGGCATAGGGTGTGTGTCCTGGGTAAAGTGTGTCCGGTGTAGCAGGAACAGTTCAAATGGTACTGCTGTTGCTTCTGAACTGTGTGACCTTGGGCAGGTTGCATAACCTTGTGAGCCTGGGATTCCTCCTCTGTGACATCCCTGGGGAAACTCCATGGTAGTGGGGTTCTGGTTCGAACCCTGATCTGTCCTCAGTCCTCAGTGCCCGAAACAGCGTGGGTGTTCACGGCAGGAATGATTTGAGTGCCAGCGACTTGACTTTGCATAGAAGCAGCATAGAAGCTCAGTCTTTGTTCCATAGCTAATCTGAATCTGGTTGGAGCAGCCTCCAGAGAAGAGCTATTGGCATCTTTGGTGGCCTTTAAGAAGCAGCCCTCAGGGTAACCCCTACCCTCTAGGAATGGAAAATACTTCCTGAACCCTGCCAGTCCCATGCCGCTCCTAAATAGGGGCATGCAGCCAAAGCCAACGGGTCTCTAGGCCTCTACCTTTGGGGTCTGTGACAGTCATCATCTTGACAGATCTACAGTCAAGCTTCTGGGCGTGTCTGTGAGAGACTGTCTGGATTAGGCTAATTGAGTCTGGAACTCTCACCTTGAGTGTGAGAGATACCATTTCATGGACTGGGGTCCCAGACTACACATAAAACAAAAAGCCCCTGGGCTCCGATTCCTCTCTCTCATGTGAGCAGCGATTCCGTCTCTCTCCTGGTGCCGTGTCTTCCCACCATGATGAGCCTCAAACAAACCCTGACTTCCTTAGGTTGCTTTGCCAGAGATTTTGTCCCAGCAACAATCAAAGCAGCTAACCCTGGGAGCGTGGGTGGAGTTTCCATTTTCACTCTTATTCTGCTGCTCTAGACTCACATCTGTCTTGAGAATCTGAGAAATCATAGAGGAACAAGAGTGCACTTCATGGTTGCTGAGCTTTCCCAACTGATCGCCACCATGGCTGGGTCCCAAGTGCACAGTCGATTCTCTTAGTGCATCTCCCTTGCTGTGCACCCACACACCTTCCATGTTACACAGTGAAGTCACGTAACAGCACCCCACCCCAACTCCCATGACCAGCATTCTGTTTTCTGTCTCTAAACTCTGTGAACCTTGGAGGACTGAAGTCGTGTTTGTCCTCCTGTGACTGCCAGGTGTCACTGTGTGTGGTGTCGTCATGATGTGCCCATGTTTGTAGCATGTGCCAGAATTTCCTTTCTTCCCAAAGTGGAGTACTGGCCCACTGTGACTGACCTGTCATTTAGGGCCATTGTCACATGGCCTTCATACGCCACAGGTATGTGCCCTCCCTATTCCAGAAGCCAGATGTCCCAGCCAAGACCTGTGTCTGTGAAGATCTGGCTCCTGCTTCGTAAATGTCACCTTGCTGTGCCCGAGGGCAGAGGAGTAGGCGTGGCTTCAAAGCTTCTTTCATGGACATGTAATCCTAATGCTAAAGGCCGTCTCCACGGCACCCACTCTCAGAGCCTCACCTCCAGATACTGTCGCATGGGGATGAGGTTTCAGCGAGGATTCGAGGACACAGACCTTCAGTGTGGGATGTAAGAGAAGCTGCCCCTTGCTTTTCTGTCGGTGGGCGTCTAGGATGGGTCCCTCTACTGTGAACGCTGCCACCGCGACCATAGCGGGCACATATCTCTGGTCCTTCTACTGTGTGCACCGCCACTGTGATCACGGCATACACATAAATCTTTGAGTGTCCACTCTCAGATCTTTAGGCACTGCTGGATTGTGTGGTTATACTGGGTCTAAATTTTGTGATTTCTTTTAGACAGTGTCTCTTGTAATTCAGACTGGTCTTCAAGTTACTGTGTAGTCAAGGATGGCCTTGAATCCTCACTCTCCTATTGTTACTTGTTTATTTACTTATATGAGTATTTGTGTATGTACCACATGCATGCCTGATGTCTGTGGACGTCAGAAAAAAGTATCGCATTTTTTAGAATTGGAGTTATGGATGATTGTGAGTTACCATGTGGGGCGCTGGGAACCAAACCCAGGTTCTCTGCAAGTGAGCAAGGGCTCTCAGTTGCTGAGTCGCCTCCAGCCCCTCTACCTTTACCCTTTAAATGCTGGCATTATAGGTGTGCATCCCTTCATCTGGCATCTTGGGTTTTGATGTTTTTAAAATGTTTTATTGGCATATATTAACTCTACATGAGAATGGGTTTCTCTATGACATTTTCAAACATACATGTACATGATGCATTTTGACCATATTTACCTCCTCTGCCCCTGTCTTACCCCTCCCAGCTAGCCCCGACCTTGCGTGCCTGTGGAGGCCGTAGGTTTACATCAGTGCCGCTCACTGCCTCTGGAGCCTGCCGCTGCAGCTGAGTGTTAGGCTAACTGGCCAGCGAGCTCTGGAGTTGCAGACACACACCACCATACCCAGATTTTTACGTGGGTGCTGGGTATCCACACTCAGAACCTCACGCTTGCACAGCAGAGGCTTTGGCAGCCAAGCCATCTCCCCAGCCCCTGGTTTTGGTTATAAGGATGGGGTCTCATGTCGCCCAGGCTGGCGGTGGCTTTTCACCTTCTCCCACTGGGGTTGCAGCTGTGAGCCACAGAGCTGCCGCACCGTTCTCTCCAGCAGCTGTTTTATTCTACCCACAGCACACAGGACCTGGTGTCCCTTCTCTGCTTGTGAGCAGTCAGTCACCCTCACACGGGGCGGCCTTTCCCTCATCTGTCTTCACCATGGGCCTCTATGTGACACCTTAGCGGCGTGATGACAGTGCGGGAGGTCACAACGGGGACACGGCGAGTTTAAGCAAGGCCAGCCTCCCCTTTCCAAGCTTTCCATCCTAGTCATCACCCACTCCAGCACCCAGTGTGAGGTGAAGACCCTGGGTGCAGAGAAGGACTTGTCCTGACACATTGCCTGAGGTGGGTAAAAGGACAAGGCAGGGTGCTTTCCTCTCCGGCTAGAGGGGTTGATGCAGGATTCGGAAGAGAGTATGGGGCTGGCCTAGGGAGGGAGCTTCAGGCAGAGGAAACAGGTGATGGAAGCATAGAAGTTTGAAAGAAGAAGAC